AGGGGAGAGGGGGGAGAGGGGGGATTGTGTGGGATGGGATGGGATGGGATGGGATAGGCTGGAGAAGGTCAATGTTATGAGGGGTGGGGTGGGGGTATAGTATGGGGTAATACTTGGGTAATAGGTGGATTATTTTGTGTATTTACTAGTACTCGGGATAATTTTGGCTTTACTTTTACCCGCGTTCGAAATTCAAGTGTTTGAGTTGAGAAGCACTTACTTGACTCAACTCATTGCTCAAGTAGTTATTGCCCCTACTTAACTCAACTCGCCAACGGATTAAATAACTTGAGTACTACTTGAGTAGTACGGAGCCAGACCGACCGCTCGGCTCATTCCGGCGACAAGTTCTTTTAAAGAGGGCCTCTTACTGTCTTTTGGAATAGGAATGAGCTATTGAAAGAGAACCTTGAGGGTATAATAAGCTTTATTCGTAGATAGGGATACGGATATGTAAGTTAAGAACTTGTGTTTGAGGATGATTTTGTATTTTATTTACTAATAGTTAGTGCGTCTTCCTACTACGCTTCGCTTGTAGTTTGTGGAAGCAAGTTAAGTGTAGGGATACGTATGTAAGCACTTTCGTACGATATAGTACTACTTCTATACGTTATAAACATATAAGTAAGATAGGTCTGTAGGTATAATTAAGTACTGTCCTATATGAGAAGTATACTTCTTTTAAATATAATTTGCGGATAACATACTCGTATATAGGTTTTTAGTACTCTTATACCTTGTTAAAGTTTGGTAGGGTACGTACGTAATCAACTTTTTGAGTGCGCAGACTTATCCTTGTAAAACTTTCTCTATAATCTATAGTATCTAAATACCCTACCGTTGTATTTAGCTTATAGGTTAGTGTTGTTCGATAGAAATGGGAGAACTCTTCAATTTGTAAAAGTAAGGTACAGGTGGGTATTAATTACCCTGGAATGACGCTAGTGCATGTAGTGAGTGAATATCAAGTATGCCCAAGTTGGTATATTATAGAGTTAATAAGGGCTCTTTTTGAGCCCATATAGAAGTCTATAGGGCAAAATTTAACTATATTAGAGCAAACCCAAGGCGCTATACTTTCCTTGCTTCCGCGGACTGCAAGCGAAGCGCAGGAGGAAGACGCGCCGAGTATTAACTCTGAGTAGTACTCGAGTTGTTGAGTAGTTTGTTACCATGCTGCTTTGCTCTGTGGGATTTATTCTTTATTTCCTTTTGGGTTTGAGGATTTGTTCGGGGGTTTTACCTGACTTTTGTTCTGGGATACATTACGATTTTTTTGCGTTTTTGGGGGGGTTGAAGTAGGGAGTTTGGAGGTTTTTGTGGAGGAATTTGATAGGGTTGGATGGATTCACTGTGGTTGTGTTGAGGTGAGGTTTTGCCTTGCTTTTGCATGGTGAAGGAGCTGATGGGCTTTAAGCGAGGTATGCGTGAATGCCAGTTTGTTCAGGGAAAGGGCGTGTATTAGCCTAACTGGTACACAGATAGTTCCCAGAGAAAGTTTCTCAAACTCTCTTGAAGTTTCTTCTACATTCCTTCTTTACCAAAAGTTGTCTAACAAATATTCCCATAACTCAACTTAAAACGCATCTTACAACGCCACTTACAACGCAACACTTCTGAATTGTCAAGGCCATGGACCAAGTCAGAAAATTAACCTCAAGAATAGGTGCCTTGTCATTTCAAGAGCCTTCGCCTGCATCAGCTGTATCACCGTCGCCATCTGAGGCATACGAATGTGAGCTATGCACAGACACTTCCGTTGACTCAACACTTTTCCCACCAGTTACGCGCACTTGCAACCATAAGCCAGGGGTTTGCCAGACTTGCATCCAAGCATGGGCTAAAACGGTTATTGAAAATCGACAATGCTTGACGTCGACTTGTCCCATTTGTCCTGAAGCAATGAAGGATACAGATTTTCAGAAACACTGTCAACCAGATGTCTTTGAACGGTGAGTACCCATCTTCTTATCCTTTTGGGTTTCTTTGAAGCTACTTGATGATCAAGAACTGACACATATCTAGATACTCCGACAGAGCTCTCTTAGAACACCTCGCCCAAGATCCAGATTTCGTGCATTGTCCTCTGCCAGATTGTCCCTCAGGCCAAATCTATGACAACACTGGAATGGTTGAACCTTCGAGATTCTTTTGTGTGGGGTGCTCAGGTGAGAGCTGTATCTATCACCAAGTTCCTTGGCACCATTGGAAAACCTGCGCTCAATATGATGAGGACCAAGAAGATGGTGAAGGACACTCCCGCGAGATCCGACGCTCTGAGAAATTCCTTCGACAGTCGGACAGACACAGACAATGCCCTACATGCAGAGCCTGGATTCAGAGAAGTGGAGGTTGTGATCATATCACATGTCGAAATGGTGAGTATTCCCTCTTCTGTTCTTTCTACACGACATGAAGATAAGCGCACGTTGGAGATGTGTACTGATCCTTTGATAGGAGCTTGTCGTACGGAATTCTGCTGGGCTTGTGGAGGAGAATGGCTTTTTGGCCATACCGAGGACTGCAGATATCGCAATGCATTTAATCGACTACCCAGACTACCGCGCCTGAATCACGACCCCGAAGAAAATGCGGACGCGAGACGTGCATTTCTGGAAGTTAATGCACCACCAAATGCGATACGAAATCCAGAACTGGATGCTGTCCTGAGAGATTTGAATCAACGCCGTGCGGACCGCAGACGAGCCCGAGAAGGGCAAGCAGCAGCAAACGACCATCAACTTGGACCGATTGCCGCAGAAACTGCTCAGTGGTGTGCACGTTTGGAAACGGAAATCTATGGTATCGCACTTGATCCTGCTCAAAAACGACGACAAGAAGCTCGTGATAGCATTCAATTCAATGTTCTACTCAATGTGCCCACACGGTTGACACCTCATACCCCTCGTGTACAGCCCGGACTTCCAGAATTAGCCGATCGTCAAAGGAATGCTTATCCCCAAGGATTTACTCCCCTTCTTCATGGTCCTCTTCAAAGACCTGGCGAGGGGAGAGCTGCAACCGGCTTTCCACCGAACGCATTACCTATACGAAGTCGTGCCCTCCAAGAGCTTAATCAAGCACCCAGGCGTTACCTGTGGGCACTACCTCGTGAGCGACCAGTAAATGGCGAAGAGGCAATTCTTCCTGATGGTCAAAGAAGACGACTTCCTCCTGATTATTTAGGAAGACACGTGCCAGAAATCCTGGAGTCACCTCTTACAGGCGAGACCCCATATGGGCGTGAACGCCTAGAAGGAAGACTTGCCGCGGACAGATTTGAAGATGAACGGCGTGAGCGACGAGAAAGAAGACTTGCTGCGGACAGAGTTACAGATGAACAACGTGAGCGGCGGGAAAGAGGTTTCTACCCGCCCTATAATACAGGCCCACCCTATGATGCTACTCGCCTAGGAGCTGGGGGTATACGTATCATGCGGGAGCAGATAGGGACTCGTCTGGATACACCTTACATTCCCCCGGTTATCCCGGTTGAGAGAGCTCGCAGAGAACCGTACAATTGGATGCATGCTGTTCGGAGAGCACCTCATGCTGAGAGATGAGTCCCGAATGAGAATCATCTGCTGCGAACTTCTGTAGCACCAATTCTTTATGGAGCGATTCAGAATAACATCCAGGCGCGATTGGGACCTATTCCAGTAGCTCTCCCTAGAAGAGTGAATCGGGAATAGCTTTGCGAGAGAAATATATGTACGTCAAAAAGAAGACGATGTTGAGGAAGAGGTTCCGCGTTTCACTCGTCCTAAAAGGCTTCCTATGGCGAGAGGCCAACGTCAGACGGAGACATTGGCTGAAAAAGCCCTCTTGTAGTTTCATACATTGAATTTCGTTGTATGTATTTCTGTGGTGGTTAGTAGAATGCAGAATCAGGATACAGCACGGGATAATGGATACATGTAGATAGATGTACTAAATTGAGATTTCTTTGCATAACTTTTCTCTTGCACTCATGTGATTGAAGGAGTGAGGATATGAGATATTCTTGCGAGCAGAATTGGATAAAACTTGTGGTCGTGTTATCCTGTGTTCTCTCATCTCTCCAGTCGTCTGAAATAGTACTGTGGCTTTTCAGTGCTCAGCCAAATAGTGTTAGAGAATAGATCTCCCAGAGGCTGTCTGGTTTAGATCCGAATTCTGAGACTCTGGGCTACTTATATGGGTCATTGAAGAAGGGCCAGTAGATCAATACCGGTAACTGCAAGTGTGTAGAATTTGAGGACTAGTGCTTGCAGTAGTTGGAGAGTATTTCCTTGAGAAAAGTGCCGTATTGGGTGAACTCGTTTTCAGATATTGACGAACAGAGAGCACTAAATCTTTTATGTTTCGCCAAGTCACAGTCTGAAGACGACTCTTGTTTTAAATTTGTTTCCATTTCATCATAAAAAGTTCGTAACCCATTCCCCATCTATAGATACAAGAATTGATCATACAAAGACACCCTCATAACAGCGAGGAATCTACTTGGTAGCATCGCTAGTCTTTCCCGAGATGGTGTTTGCAGCGTTGTTCAAACCATCTTTGGCAGAGCTGAGGTATGAAGAACCTTCATCCTGTCCCTTGTCGGCGCCTGAACGGGTGCTGTCACCCATCTTTTGAGTGGTGGATTTGCTGTCATCTTGAAGGATATATTGTTAGTTAATGTTCACAAAGTAACGGTTAGGAGTTGAAACTTACTTGGCTGGACGGCTCCAGTTACTTTGTCGGCGGCTCCAGAGATGTACTCGCTGGCAACTTGGGTGTTGGATTTTTGTGATTGAGGAGTGACTTTCTCTGCGGCTTGGTCGCCGAGTCCTTTGCGGCTTTTGTATGTGTTAGTATGAGAGGAAACTCTGCTTGGAGTTCACACTTACAGTGTGTCAGACATGTTGATTTTGTTGGTTGGAAGGTGGTTTGAGTTTTGTGTTGGTAAAGAGATGAATGTGCGAGTTGTGATGATGAAAAAATGTACAGTAGAAGAGAAGAGACACTTATATAGATATCTTACCAACATTTGAGTTACAAGAAATTCCAGGTTCGTCATTATGGACACTTGGCCATCCCATCCTACTTCGCCTCAAGGTTACTCTACGCACGAGTCTCGAGATCATCAAACGTCATGATAAATGGGGATGCCTCTCAGCCAGTGATTTCGGTCAGCAGATAGTTCTTGACAACAACCTGGTGCTTCTTGCTGTTCCGTACTTGGTGGAACGGAGAGGTCTTGAGCATGACTACTCAATGGTCGGATTGGCCATCGGATATTTTTGGCGTGGCTGCAATCAAGATTCGGAGGTGAACCCGAGACATTTACCGCATATTTACCGATTACTCGAGTACAGTCGAAAATACTCGCTTGAAAAAGGGTGCAATGATGTCATTTCTGTATATTTCCCGTGATGTCATGAAGGAGGGTTCATGAGCGTCACGGGAGTTGGTAATTATTTTAACACCTGTGAAAAAAAGACTAACCTGTAAGCTAAGAAATGGAGAATCTTAGTAGAGTTATTGTGTGTGTGTGTGTGTGTGTGTGTGTGTGTGTCTATTTAACGAAGAGTAGAGTTATTGTGTGTGTGTGTGTGTGTCTATTTAACGTCTAGGCGGGCACGTACGCAAGTCACGTGCCCTTCAGTCCCCGTTGGGGCAAAAGACG